ACCATTTTCTCAAAATCATATTTTTGCCCTAACTCTAGAAGCTGTAATACATGTTGGGGAAAGTTATGCTTAGAAAGATTCTTAGCAATCTGGAGGGAGATTCCTATTATCTAACAAAATGCACTTGCTCCAAACATAGCATACCTTTATTTAAAAAAAAAGCAAATAGGGCTTGATATTTACTCAACAGAGTTGTCATAAAATTCAACCTCAGTCAATTGGGACCCACTTTTTCCTATTTCTTCAGGGTGAAACAAAATCAGTAGAACTTGCTTAGACTAGAGCATAATTTCTTAATCTTGACACTACTGACATTTTAGACCAGATAATTCTTTGCTGTGAGAAGCCGTCCTGTGCATTGGAGGGTGTTTAGCAGCATTCTAGCCTCTAATCACAGGATGCCAGAAGCATCATCTGGGTGCTCACGTGGGAAATGCAGAACCCTTCTCTACCTGGAACAATAAATATCATCTCTAGTCATTGCCAAACATCCCATTGAAGGGTAGTTGCTCCTGGTTGAGAACCATTGCTCTAGAACAATTGGGAAGGGGTCTAGTTTCAGTTTTAGATTTTATGGTGGCTATTGGCATTTGTCTCTGACAATGTCTGCTTGTCATTAAAGGCCCATACTTCTATTTTCCTTTTGCGGATCATGAAATCTCTGTCAAGGCTCCCAGGTAGTACTCACTGCCTAAACTCCTCAGGCACCCTAGCAATGATCCTTCTTAGAGGTCTTATAAGCCCTGAAAGTGCTGTGTACATAGAGCAAAGTCCTTCTTGGGAGATCCTGTCCCTAGCATTTGGGGACTCAGTTCTTTCTGAGCTCAGATCATTTATTTATTCACTCTTTTTTTTTTTTGTTTTTTTGTTTTTAAATTGAGATGGAGTTTTGCTCTTGTCCCCAGGCTGGAGTGCAATGGCATGATCTCAGCTCACTGCAACCTTAGCCTTCCAGGTTCAAGCAATTATCCTGTCTCAGCCTCCTGAGTAGCTGAGATTATAGGTGCCTGCCACCATGCCTGGCTAATTTTTGTGGTTTTAGTAGAGACGGGATTTCACCATGTTGGCCAGGTTGGTCTTGAACTCCTGACCTCTGGTGATCTAACAGCATTGGCCTCCCAAAGTGTTGGGATTATGGGCATGAGCCAGAGAGCCCAGCCAAGCTCAGATCTTTTCTATCTCCTTCAATTCTACAGCTTTTCTTATCTTAGAAAATCTCAAACAATGGTATTATGAAGCTAATTAGAGAACAATCCTTAATTATCTTGGAAAAGTAGAACCTTGTGTCCAGGACACAAAACCCTGGTTTTCTTACCAATACCTCAATGGAAAAACTGTAATCCATGTATCCATTTTCTCCTTTTCTCTTTTTAATTATTCTTCTCTAATTCTCCTCTCTTCCTGTATTATCTGTCATTTTCTTCTCAATTCATTTTTTTAAAATTCTGTCTTCTCTTCTATTTCTTCTTCAACAGCTATAGGCACAGAAAATTTAGGAAAATGAATGGGAATTTCAGCTGTGTGTGGTGGCCCATGTCTGTAATTTCAGCACTTTGGGAGGCCAAGGTTTGAGGATTACTTGAGTCTAGGAGTTTGAGACCAGCCTGGGCAACCCAGTGAGACCTCAGCTCTACAAAAACTTTAAAAAATTAACTGGTTATGGTGGTACATGCCTGTAATCCCAGCTACTCAGGAGGCTAAAGTGAGAGGAATGCTTGAGTCTGGGAGATGGAGGCTGTAGTGAGCTGTGATTGCGCCATTGCACTCCAGCCTGGGTAAGAGATTGAGACTCTTTTTCAAAAACAAATACAGCAACACCCAAAATGGGAAACTCGTCAATCCTACATCTCTGTTGATTCAGAGGAGTGTTAAGGCAGAGATTGGAAGTTACACCCATTTTCCCAGGCGGAAAAAATGTGTTTATATGGGACCCCAAAACCATTTATTGCAAAGTACAAAATGTCATGTTTGAAAATTTTACAATGCCAATAAAATGATCTGCTTCTTTTTTCTTCCTTTCAAGTTCATTTCATTTCTTTTCTTCAGCTGGCAGCAAGCATTGTCTGAACGTTGAAGTAAAGAGCCTTGGCTTATCTCCAAGGGTGAGGGGCAGGCTGAGGAAATATTTTGCTATGGGAGGGAGAGCTACTATCATTTCTTGGAACATTAAAAAAATAACTTTGGAATCAACCTGAAGGTTGAGGGAGGATTAAGAATCATCAATAAATTTGAGATGGAAAAGTTCCTGGCAGAGTTTACAAGGCTGGAAAATCACTAGTTTTCCTTTTCCTTATCTACAAAAGGTCAGTAAGCTTATTTAGCCTTTGGATAATATACTCACCGCATTCTCAGCTGCATCACACATCTGACCATGTTGCAGGCCACTCTTTCTGCATTAGCTTCCACCTGCCACCTCCTGGAAGACCTCCCAGGCGGGCCTCTGGAGATCATTGATGAGGTTGTGTGGGCCTGCCCTCTGGCTCTCTTCTCTCCCTCCAACCAGACTAAGGGCACTTGGGCATTCTCCCTAGTTAACGAGAGGGCCCCGTGGCTGTGGGGTGAATGTTTCAGGCCTATCTTTCCTTTCCCAAAGGTGAGCCCAGGTAAGGAGGTCAATTCTCCATGTTGGCTGAAGAACGCTGTGGGCTCTGAGCAGGTTGTACTCCGTATTTCACAAATGCTCAGCCATTCGAAGTGCCTCGTAGTTTACCTTCCATAGTCTTGCTTAAATCAGTTTAAGGTTAAGAGCACAAACATGAGTTAGTCACAACATTGAACCTGCAGCGCAAATGCCGGAATATGCCTTTTAACAAGTGTGAAGGTACTGCTGGTAACGGGCAACATAAACCTCTAGACTCTGGTGGAAAATCAGAATATGTGGTTGGTGTCATTCTTATTTGTTGTGGGTCACACAGAAGGTGTTTGAAAGAGAACGGCTGGGGCCAGCAATCTGACTTCATTGAGTAATTATTATGCGCAATGAGGACTGCATCTAGCAGGCAGACATCTTCCAACCACAGGTACCTGTGCTGTGGAGCACAATATGAAATCAGCAGAGATGATGGAATGGTGGGCATCATACCATGCGAGGCTGCTAGAGGCAGTCAAATACATGGTGGAGCAAAGGCATGGGTTTTGTCCACGTGACTAGCAGAGAGGGTGTGTCTTCATCGTGCTCCCATGGGCTCTATCACCACTGCACGTGGATGGCGGTGCTCCTTCATTCAGAACTCTGCTATGATCTCTCTACTGATGACTTATGTGCCTTTCAGGATAAGATATTTCATAGCTTTTGCCTCATAATGATAGGCTAAAAGAATTAAAGGATGGGGAGAAGTCAAGGTGATTATTTCAGATGGTCATTACCTTGCTCATAAAAAACTCTATAAACTTGTCAATATTATGATAGGTTAGTGGGTTTAAACAATGGTCGCATTTCAGGGGTGCCCGGGGTGAAGGTCTGTATAAACTCTCTTTCATACCCATATATGGCTGCTCTTATAGAACACTGATGAATTAATTCAGGTAGGGTAAATGAGAAGGATATCCAAAAAATACCACTGCAGAAGCAATTTCACAAGAAGAGGAGCAGAAAGCTTATTGAAGAAGCGTTCTGTTTTTGTGAAAATTCCCTCTTAAGATATTAGTTATTGGAAGAGGAGTTCGGATCTAATGCTCAGGAATGAGAGAGTCTAGCTGCTTGCAGAAAAGGTTCAGGTCAATTAAAGATTCAACATTCTCACCTCTGAGTGCAGGATAATGTTAGCTAACCAAGTGGCAATTTCATAGACCTGGCTTAATGATTTGATGATGAGCCATCCAGGGGTTTTTAACCAGTTATGAGATGACAGAGAGGGGAAATGATGTTAGCTGGAAAGGAAGAAAATAAAGGTTGACTATCTGGAAGACATTTTAACTCATTCTCACTCTCTAATAAGATTGTATGAATTTCTGGAAGTGGGCAGATACTGGGAAAGGTCTTATAAAGTTTATGTTTATGTATACACACAGACATATCTACGTAAATACGCAAAATACAAAAGAATCAATCCAAAATGAAATGAATTAAAACAGACTGCTAAAACATGTTTGAATAAGTTTAAAAGGGCAAGGAAGAATGAAAAGAGAAACAAAAATAGTTGAAGACAAAAAGCAAAATGATAGAACAGTAGACCTAAATCCAAACATCACACACACACACACACACACACACACACACACACATACACACACGGAGTGTTGTTTTCTGCATTAAGATGACAAGCAGCTTGGCCGTATTTCTTAACCTGTTAGTGTTCCATTTCCATATTTATAAAGCCAAGTTTGTATTGCTGGCTCTTCGCCTTGCAGAATGGTTAGGGGGATCAATGGGCTCTTACCTTGGTTGTGAATACCAGCCTCCGAAAGTGCAGCACCAAATTCCACGTTCCATACCACACCATAAAAATCTGCTACATGAAAATGAGTGGATAAGGAATGCTGCATTTTCTTTCTCTAGCATTCTCACACTTTGCCCAGGACATTTAGCTCCCATACTTCAGAGACTCTTCTTAGTCTTAACTCTCTTCTGATTTCTGAGAATTAAGTCGGACTTCAGAATTGGCAACTGAGATGTATTCTACTAGTTGGTGTTGACAGATTTTTATTATATTGAAACTAGAAATTTTTTTTCAGCAGCATGTATGTGAAAGTGCAGGCAAGACAGGGAAAGAAAAAGAATGTGCTAGTGTGTTAGACAGTAATTCATACCCTGGATACACAATGTGCAGAAACAGGAGAGGACGCAGGAGTAATATTGCACAGAAGAATACAAGTCTCCAGTGAGAAATCTGAATCCCTGTGATTACCATCAGTAAGAGTAAGACAAATGACCTTTAAAAAGGAGAGGTAGCTTGAAATTTTCCTTTGTTTTGCTATGAGTTCCCTGCTGGTCCTTTTTCAGTTTTCTTTCCCTGGGTCTGGAAGGTTCAGGGTTGATTGTTTTCAGCAGACAGCTCAGTTCTCTCCAGCTCTACTCCCCACAATGGTACTAAAGGGCTACACTTATTAGCAGCAGGCCCCTTCTAGGGAAGAGCTACATGATTTTTAAAGGGTCCTAAAATAATTTAGTTCAGAAAAATACCATTATGATCATCCAGCTCAAAAAAGTGCTGCTGAGCTCACTATAATTCATCCACCTCCTTTAACAGCTACCATTAAGTTGTTGCATTTGAACACTGAAAACAAATAGGCTTTCATTGTATGTCTGAAATCTTTAATATAGCTTCAAAGTTCCAGAGGAAAATACTGCATTGCAGCTCTCCTGTTTTTGCAGCGAATCTCACTTGGCATGTGGCTGCAGAGGAGGGGCCACCACAAAAGCAGCCTGTTTTCAGCTCAACTCAGCAGATCCCTCAGCTCCAGACTATAATGAGAGACGTGTCCTCATGTTGCCCAGGGCAAAGGAGGCGGGGGAGGGAAGGCTACACACACAGGTCCTAATTAAACAGGTTTGGTTATCTTTTTATTTATTTATTTATTTAAATTATTGAGTGTTTATCAGGCAATACTTTCTTCAAGTAGCCAGACGTTTTTCTTTTTGAATTCTGGAGAATTTATGAAGCAGATTGAAGATGCCCAATGTATTCTGGCCATTCCGACAGGTCCTGCTGAACTTTAACCACAGCAGATGGACATTCTTGGTCTTGTCCACCAGCAGACTGGCCAGAGAAAGGTCCACTGCAAACCAAGCAAAATTTGGCAAACGGTTTAGAAGATGATGATGCTCATTCATTCACTCACGTATGCATGCATTCTCCATGCATTAATGGAATATTTCTACCATATTCTGGGCACTGGAAATGCAGACATAAACAAGACCTAAATCATCAACTTCAAAAGTTGCTTTTTAATCCATGTCAAATAGCAGTTTTCAAGAGTGTCTGGATGTCCCCCAATCTCTTTTCTTTGTTTGCATCCTAGGACTTGGGGCTGGCTGTGTTTTAGTCCAACCAGAGCAGTTTCATGCCACTTTTCTTTAAGGCTTTGCTGCTAAATTTCATCTGTTAAGGAGTGGAGCACACGTGGGACATACAAGTATCTGTCTTACCAAGAATGACTCGTGCTGTAGGCAATATTATATTTCCTTTTACAGATGCAGGCAGATGAGGTAAAGTGACTGGCCAAAGCTCACTCAGCTCATGAGTGATAGAGCAGATTCGTACTCAGAGTCCTTATCTGCTGCACCTCCCGTCCCCAAGGTGATCTAATATGAGCTTGCTTTGGCATAGAGTGGGACCCAATCAGCAACTCCTGGGACCCTTGAATACAAATCAGAGGGCTGTTAGAATGGCTTTGACCTCACTTAAAAAATTTCTTCAGTCTTTCTGCAGCAGTAATTTAGGCTCACAGGATGATTATTTCTACTAAAGTACTATTAATAGTTTGCCGAAAGTTTGCCTTTTCTGTCTTTTCCTCCCTTCAGTGAATTATGTTATCAGCTGCCCTTATTACAGTGTTGTCTACTTAAAGCAGTTATGTTGGTTTCCTTCTGAAATACAACCATCTAAAATTCTGCTTTGGTAACCCAGAGCATTTTCCCTTTAAAGGTATAAAGAGAATCACAAAAATTTTACTGTATGAGACTTGTGCTTTTTCATAACAACGTGAGTCTTCTAAAAAGCCTTGCCTCAATTTTTAATAGAGAAACCTTGTCTATTACTCCAAAAGCAGATCTGTTTGGGAAAATGTTTTGCAGCTGAGAGCAGTTTGAAAGAGACTCTTGGTGAGCTTTTGTTCTTGCCTGTTTAACAGCTTAAGGTCTAGAGAACCCCATTTGAGTTCACCTTTTGCATTTGAGTCCAAAAACTGAATCCATTAAAGGGCTCTCTTGAGCCTGCAGTGAATTTCAGAGCTCCTAGGAGGACGCTCCAGGCTCACTTAACTGGTTTGAAATCTCATGGCCTCAGGCTCCACAGTTTTTATTTGGAGGAGGATAGAAGTCAGGGAATTAGTTCAAAAGCTGCAAACACTTTTTTCCTTTTGTCTCTAATGTCTGTTGTTCAGCATTGGTTCCACACCATTTGCAATATTTTAAGAACCATTCCAGAACAACTAAGTCATAGCAGTTAGAATTAATATTGTTCGATCACCTTTTCTATTACTTTTAATATTTGCACCTATGTCATCCATATGCATTTGGTTTGGAAACCTGGAAGATGAAAAAAATAATGCAGATTTTTCTCTCCAGTCCCAGATGGAATTTTCATTTGCTTTTGTTTGTGGTTTTCGGTGTGTGTGTGTGTGCATGTGTGTGTGAGAGAGACAGAGAGACAGAGAAAGAGAGAGAGAACAGAGAGAATAGAGGGAGGACTTTGATCTCTGACAGCCAGATCATGCAGAGAAAGGACATATTGAAATTGCCTTTGCGAAAATTATAACACTGAGAAAATTATGATAGTTAAAGAGATCTGACCTAGCCAACTGCATCTTGCTTCTAACCTCCAAGCTGTCCTTGTTCATTCCTGGGCACAGGTGAAATAACTTTGGGAAAAAATTATAGTTTAACTTAGAAACAAAGATGATAATAGCCCTTTCCCAATATAAACCCCCTTCTTTCCCAGGGACCACTCTGCCTTTTAGGGCTAACAAATTAGGTACAACATTAGAAATTGTGTCTGAGGAATCATGCAGCCAGAAGGTACAAGATTCTGAAGCTTCCCAAATTGCTCATGGGATTACTGTTATAAAGCCTAAGATCAGTGCTTGAGATTCCAGGTTTCTCTGAACTGGCTGCACCATGGGCCACGCCATGGTCAAGCCATGGTGTTCCCTGTGACCCCCACATACATCTCCAGAAAAGAAGAAGAATGGCTAGCTCTGCCATTGTTCCTGCCTCAACCGTTCCTGCCTTAACTGATAAGCCAACCTTGTGACACTGGACCTTGGAGCTTGTGACAACCACCCCCCTGCACCATCCCACCCCGCTGCCTTGCAAAAACTGCCCTAAACTGTAACTTCTGTAACTTTCCACTGCCTACCCCAAACCTATAAAACAACTCCTATCCCACTGCCCTCCGCTAACTCTCTTTTTGGACTCAGCCCACTTGCACTCGGGTGAATAAACAGCCATGTTGCTCACACAAAGCCTGTTTAGGTGGTCTCTTCATTCAGAACATACCTAACAGAGATGTTATGCAGATCTTGCATTCTCATGCACCAGCTGATGCCACGCAGACGAGTAACTGGCTCAACAAGTTATGCAATCCTACCGAGTCACAGAAGACATCAAGGAAAACCCACTTAGACCCCTATAATTTCTTCTTTGACCTGAACAATCAGCATTCCCTACTTCCCAACTCCCTATCTACCAAATTATCCTTAAAAATTCCCGATTCCTGAATTCTCAGGGAGACTAATTTGAGTAATAATAAAACTTCGGTCTTCTGTACAGCCAGCTTTGCATGAATTAAAACTGTGAAGCAATGTCATTGTCTGGGGTAATATCTGAGGTTCATTACTTCATGCCAAGGAAATCAAGCATGCAGACACACATGGAGTGAGGTTAAGGGCAGAGGCTTAATGGGTGAAAGAAAGAGGAAAGAGCATAATTTTCCTACAGAGAGAGAGGGGGTCACCCAAGTGAGTCTTCCAGCTGGTGGTGGAATACACAGCCTTTTATAGACAGGCTTGAGGAGGCAGTGTCTAATTTACATAGGGCCCAAATATTGGTTGGACCAGGTGTGACATTTACATAGCATGCAGGGAAGCTGGCTGCTGCACCCTACTCTTACAATGCAAATGGGATCTTTGCCCGACCGGCAGCATGTTGTCTGCTCCGTACTGCACACTGGTTGGCAAGAAAAAGGGAAGATGGAACCACCATGTTGGACATGCCTAGCCCTCAGGTAGCCTTTTCTTATTGGCACAGCTGCTGCATTCACCTGCGCAAGTTTCCAGTTTTGCTTGTCTATGTCTGCAGCTCGATTTTACAGGCTGCTCTTTGTTAGAAAAGAAATTGATTTTGAGGCTGCTTTTTATTAAAAGAAAAATCTTACTGAGGACTTCCTAATCCTCACTATCTGCCTAAACAATTCCTTTTTAACTGCTACATCAATTCTTTCTCTATTGCAATTCCCCTGTCTTGATAAATCAGCTCTGTCTAGGCAGCAGGTAAGGAGAACACTTTCGGCAGTTACAATGTTCTCGGCAGAAACACAGGGAGGTAGGAAATAGGATGTGCTCATGGAGGATGATGTCTGTACTTGCCTAGCTGCTCAGAAGCTATTTTCTCCCCAAATGAATTCACAGGCTGTGTATATATCATACCTGCCTCATTAGGCAGAGCTGGATCACCTGAGCTTAGGATCTAGTCTAAGCAGACTGGGAAGGGAGCTGCTCATACTAAAAACCTGTTATTACATTTTAAATCTGGAAGTGAAACAATAACTAGTCAATTCAGTTGACATGGCAATATCAGATGGGAAGAGGTGGCTTAGGAAGCAACTGACGCCAGGGTCCTGGGGCTGAAGCGTGGAGCCCCGCAGAAGAAGACAAGAGGGCAGGTGGCTGAAGACACTGGTTGTCTTGACAGTGGCTGCAGAACACTACTCCAGGAGCGCTGCCTGGGCTCCAGTCCCACTGTGTGCCATGGATCACAGTATGACTTTGGTTAAATTATTCAACTCCTCAGCCTCAGAAGCCTCGTTTATGAGATAGTAATAATAATAATGACACCTAGCTTTTCGGGTTTTTTTGAAAGAATTATTTAAGTAATAAGTTTCAGGTGCTTGGCACAGTGATTGGTAGAGAGTGTGTATTTGAAAATGTTGAATATTAACTAGATTGTGGCAGAGGCTAGTTTTTTTTTTTTTTTTTTTTTCCAATTCCATTTTTCTTTCCTCCTGAGCACACAGCTACTACACACATCCCAGCCTTCATTGTAACAAGTGAGCCCACTTAAATGAGCTATGGGAAATGGCTTGTGGGCAGAAGTGAGGACACCACCTCCAGGACTGGCCCATGAAAGCCTCC